AGCAAGTCTGAAGTATGAACAGGCTTTAAATATGGTATTTTAAAAAGAATCTCTGTCTAATAAAGCCTGTAAGTGTGTTATACAAGGCATTATCTTAACAAGCTCCTTATAGGGACAAATCAGTGTCATATTAGTGCCAACTTTCTTCCATTCATTTACTACATGGGCGTCCCTCCCTACGCAAGCTTCTTGCATTGGTTCCTAGGCAACTCTAATAATATTGCTGCACATGTGTGTCAGGCATTGATTGCTTTTGGGGCTTTTTTTGGGTTGTGAGTGAACACAGGCGAGTCCGCTTTCTTTTGCTTTGTGTTCTGCTGGAGTCTCTGAGAGTTTTGAAGGGTGTGTCTGTGATATTCACAGCTGAGCAATTCAGAAATACTTGCAGACAGGCACACGTGCATAGCGTGGAATGGTGATCATGCTGGAATCCCTAGGCAAGGCTTACTTCAGCTACTGTGATTTGCTCTTTGGGGCTTTTTAGCCCCCAAAAAAGTGGCTTAGTATTTTGGATGCTTGGTGAATGTGCAGCATCATCTAAAGAAAACATAATGAACAACCCTGCTTTATCTTGATTTTACTCTGCATGGAGGGAAAGAAAAAAAACGAACTGAAGAGTTCTAGTCAATGAAGGGTTCAGCCCTAAATCAAATCCTTACTGAAATTCCTTCCAAGGGATTACTCACTTGAGCAAATGTGTACATGGTTTGGCACGGAGGAAATAGGTTTTTTTAAGAAAAAAAAGAAAGTTAATGTATAAAACTGCAAGAGAAAGGATGATGGGTGAATATAGTAGTGCAGTTAGACAGGGGAGCTCTTAACCCTGCTCAGCTCTTTTAAGAGCTCCTGGTAGACCTCGAGCAAGTCAGGTCACCTCTTGTTTTCTGTTTGTGAGGTGGGAATGGCAGTATATCTGTCATCCACTGCTTGTTCATTTCAGGGACAAACAGCATGACCATGAACTGCTTTTATTCCCTGCTTGGTGTTTGGAAGCCAGACAAGTACAGCCCACGTGCACGGTACTGAAGATGTCCTAATAAACCTTGCTAGTCCCAGCAGCTTCATCCCAACACTGTCATGCTGGTCAGTCTGTCAACCTGTAAAGTTTCTACAAGACAAATAAAACTGCCAAATAAAACATCCTGGGCAACCAGTTGATCATCCTTGGTTTATTTTGTCTGCTTAAGTTGGTAGGTCTTTGAAGCTTTTTGAGTTGTACCCCTGTCTTTGGACACCTAAATGGTGTTGCAGTACAGAGGGGAAATAAAAATATAATCAATTGGTTGTGCAGAATCTAGAATTACTTGAGCCATAAGCCTGTGAAATACATGTGGGAAGCATGCAAACAGTTTACCAGAATTTAGAGTTTACCAAATATTGATATATATGTTTCAAATGCCCAGACTTAATGGGAGATACTAACATTGGCATTTCCTCAGCATACAAAGAATGATTTTATGCTCTTAATGTAGAAAGGTTTTTCTTTTGTAACTGGTAATGATAATAATAAGAGCATTGTAATGTGTGTCTGGCTGTGGAGAGCTGTACATTTTCTCTTTTACAGTTTTCAGTGCAATGGAAATTATTTAGAGGACTGCATAATTCTCTGCATTTTTCTTACTCTGGTGTTGAAACAAGTAGAACACCCTTAAAACATAAAACATTCCCTATAGTCTCAACAGAAGTTGAATTGGTAAGAAAAGAGGAAAAAAAGAGAGAAAACACGGAAATAGAGGAAGCTATTTCAGATGCCTTTTTGTAAGAGCGAGTGTCTGTATGAAAACAACATGCAGTGTTCACCAATTCTTCATATAATGCCTGGAAAATAGCAAGATGCTGTTAACGTGCAGTATCGCAATATCATTCATTAAAGAAGAAAACATGGAAAGCCTGAATGGCTGCAGGTTCATCAGCTTGTTATCAGTGGCGTATGGAAGTCTCACAAAAAATGCAGGCACCTTTTGGCCTCCAGCTGAAGAAGGAGGCTTCAGGGTTCAGAAATAGTACCTGAACTGCAATCTACCTATGACAACAAGTGTTAAGGGAAAGGTAACAAAGGGTAGTGAACTATTACGTGAGCCTTTTATAGACTACAAAACGTATTTTTTTCTAGAGAAATAAAAGCATTTTAGAATACTGAGGCTTGAAAACAGCAGTAAAGAAAAACTGTGAAACTCTTATGTGGAGATAAAATTAGTTGTCAGGATTAAATAAGCAGCAATCTATCTGTAGTATTCTAAGGAGTATAATTTTAGTGGGTTTTTTGGCATCACTGGAAAATTTTTTGCAGTGAGAATAGGAATGGTCAACTAGTTGACATTTCTAGCACCAGTTAAGGCTGACTGTATTTGACTTGATGATAAACAAAGCTGTAGGTGGCTTGGGATGGTATAGCTCTGTCAATTTAAAGGGTGTAACACCATTTGCCCAAAGGCAGAGCAGTATCAACATTTCCCCCTCACCCTGGTGACTGAGTTTCTTTAGCAGCAAGGGGGTACAAGCATCAGCCTTCACTTGAGACAGCAGAAGATAGGTTTTCAGAGAGGCAGTCAGGGTTGGGGGCACAAGAATGTACCAGCAGCGGTCACGATGGCTGCCGGTGTGGTGGACTGAGAGGTGCAGGGCTGGCTGTTTGCCCTGCCTCTGGTTAGTGCCTGACAGCATGGGGCTCCTGGTCACAGCTTCAGCTATTGCACCACTCAAATAACAGTGCAGACATTTCTTCTCTCTCTTTTGGTTCTGAGCAATGTGAAAGAAGTTTGTTATTTTTTTTCTGTTAAGCTTATTTCTAAAAAGTTAATTCGTATTTATTTAAACACCATCAGTCTTTGTTTTTTCTGGTGATGGTGTTTGACTAAGAAGAGCAGGTGTGCTGGCTCATCTCTCATCCTGCTCCATCTACTTCAGCAGCAATTTCTGGTAAGTTTTGTCACCTCCATGTGTGCTGTGGAGAAATATTGAGAGAGCATAGGGAGTGGCAGTGCAAGAGCACAAAATTACACTCCTCATCAATCATTACCCTCTAGCAACTTCCAGGGCACTGTAAATTGCTGACTAACAAGGGAGAATTAACTTGATAAAATCACCATTAGTGTCAGCTCAGAATGATGTAAAGTTTTAAAGACACTGCTGTCCTCTCTGTCTCTCCCTCATCCATTAGTGTGTCTGTTCGTGGAGATCCCAGTCCAGCGAAGCACGTAAGCACATGCTTAATTGCAGACAGATCAGTAATCCCAAGGAAATCACTGAGATATGAGTCCTAAGCATGTGTTTATGTGCTTCACTGGATCAGGGCCATAACACACAGTCTCTGAGCACAGAAATTATAAATATCTCTGTGTGAGCTGTTTTCTTGATTCAAGACCAGATTTAGACTCACTAGCTGGACTGAGAAATATGGCAGTCAAGTTTTACTGTGACAGAGAATAGAAGATAGTAGACATATGGCATTATCCTTAGTCTCTTTAACCTTCCTTTTCTTACTTGTTATTTGAATTTCATCACTTTATGCTAGCTAGAAATGTGCCTCTCTAAACCTCTGCATAGCCTTCTCAAAGCTCTGCAGTTACTAAAATTTAGACCATGTTTGGATCCATGCCTAAAACGTAAAGTGCAGCCAGGTCAGGAAAAGTTTGTTTTAAAAATACAGGTGAGATGCAGATGCAGCTAATATAGCTAACAGGTTGTGTTAGCTTATGGACTTCTCTCAGTATTGTCAGATTGCATACCAAATACTACAATTTGCCTTATGGCTTCTCAGTGTTTGGGGTTTGTTTCTTCATGTTTTCAACTTTTTTTCACAGTCTTGAAGACAAGAACCTTACTTCAAAGGAAAAAAAAACCAAACCACACACAACACTAAAAGCTCAAAACAAATTAAAGAACCACTAAAGATATAACAGTGGACACTTGGATTCTTATATAGGCATTTGATTACGATAGCTGCGAAATAGGAAAATTGTGAGGCATTTCAAGACTTCCCACATAACCACCGGGGTGACCAGCACCCCTCATTTCTATTTCAAAATTGTTCTCAAGTTTGATGGTTTTTTGCTGTCATTATTTGATTATCCAGTTGGAATATAAGCCTTTTTACCTCTGACACTGTCATACTTTTATTTTTTTCATTTGGTTAGAAAGCTGTAGTGACTTACTCATCACTACAGATAGTTATTTGCCTTGAAAGGCTGAGAATGTCCATCTGTTTAGTTGTAGCCCACGCCATGATCACCAGATGTTTCATTGCTCCACAACCATCTAGAACTGGGGCTTGATCTGCTGTGAGATTACATCCATTGCCTCAAGATGCCCCAAAACTAATCCAGTCATCTTGTTTGAACAGTTTGTTTGAAGACATAATATCACATTTGAGAACAGAATAGCATACCTTTGAATGCCAGAAGCTATAGGTGTGTTGATCTAGTCTGATCTTCCACAGGACACAGAGCAGAAAATACCACCTACCCCTGTTTAACTTTTTACTTTGTGGCATGACTACTTCTCTTGCTGTTGAAGTGGACTGTACTTTTACTCTATCCAGAACAGCTGACCACTGCAGCTTCTATGAGGAAAGTGTTGCAAATGCTCAAATACATCTTAATGGAAATTAATACTTAGTCTTCGTTTGCTAACCAAAGCAGCAAACTTGTCTTTCATAAAACAAAATTGATGTCTATTCTGTGATAGGCCTGAGTGCTAGTTAATAGGAAGATATGTATTAATCCTTCTAAAAATCTGTCTGTAAAGCAGAAGTGCTGGGACAAATTATCAGCAACTGCAAGTGGATGCAAGTCAACTTATTTCAGTGGTCCTGAGTAGCTTTACACCAGCAAAGGTGTGGGCAAGCCCCTGTCTTTTGCAACTCCGCTCTTTTGAAACAGCACTCTTTGAGCTACCAAAACTGTTTGAGGGAATGTCTACTGACCACAATCCATGTGAAGTCCAATGCATGCTCTGGTCCTATTTTGTCATTCGATTTTGACACTAATTTATGTTTGCAGGTGTGAAAGCTGTGGTGCTGTCTTCCACTCTGAGTGCAAAGTGAAGGCTGTACCATGCCCCCGGTGTGTGCGTAAAGAGTTGCAGAAGAAGCAGAAATCCTTCTGGAGGCGACTGAATATGGACGAAAACTTGGAAGAGTCTTGCAGCATGTTTGAGTTGTCATACCAGAACACATGAGTTCTTCAAGGCAGTGGCCAGCCTGAAGAGAATCCTTTTCCCAGCTGCCAGCTCAAGCAATTTCTCAGCTTAGCCTGGCAGAAATGTTTTGCAAAATAATATCCGACCTTCTTCATCTGTGAATAGCAGCTGCCAAAGTGGCCATAAAGCCTTGTTGGCTTTGAAATACCAGTGGCAGAACTGCATTTTGCATTGAAGTTCAGCTGCTAGCTCTCATACAAAATGTGGTTTACTTGAAATGCTTTAGGTCTAGCTAATTGAGCACCCAACTTTCTCTTTTTTCCCTCTGGAGAAGACTTTTCTTCAAGGCAGAAAATATTTGCTGCCATGACCACGTTGTTTTTTATGTTGTTCATTTAGAACTGATGAATCATCTACTTGTTTATAGGTATTATTTATTTATTATTGGCCTTGGCAGAGGTTCTGGTGAGGCATTTCACAGAATGCAATAGGGCAGGAATTATTTTAAACCCACCTGCTCCTTCTGATGTGGACACCTGGTTCCATTTCCTCATGTTTCTGGAAAGCTATTTTTAAAGGATCAGTGCATTTACATGTCACTCCTCACTGAGGAAATAAAAATATCACCCATCAAACCTTATTCAGGGTGCTTGCAAACATAAGACGCAGAATAATTCCTTTGTATATTTATATATTTATAACCACCCCAGTGAACTATTCCATTTGCATATAAGCAGAGGACTTGCTACGGTTTTTGCTCAGGCTGGTGATATCTGTCAAGCGCTGTCACTGAAGTCCACGGAGTTTTACCCTGGTTATTATTAATGTGAGGCCATGTCCTCATCTCCAGTAACATGATGTTGGTTCTGACCTCCTTCTAGTCTCACATTTTAAGACATTTTAAGTGTCCACATTGGTTTTGTTTTTATGTCGTGAAGTTTACTTTTAAATGTTTGTTTAATCTGAACCTTGTTAGACTGATAGTCAGAAGAGTGGTCTTGCCCACATTACCTAGAAAATACTCCAGAATCATGAAATACTACTTTGTTGTGCTCATGTGCAATTTATGTCCTGCATTCTCTGTGAGCTTTAAGGGATTTTATACTTCTTTTGTGACTTCCATGGTGGAGAACAAGGTTCCTTGAGGTGTGGTTCTGCTCCACACACCTGGAACACAGGGAAGTGTTAAACGTGGTAAATTACATATATTGTGAAAGGGGAACATATGATTGATTTAACTGGGAAGTTGCGTGTCATCACTGGCAGTATGTTTAACACATTGCAGCTTCACCTCCAGTGAACACTTAGAGATCCTCCTCCCTCCAATCCACATTCTTAAATCTTTCTCCAGACAGTAATGTGTATTACATAAATATGAAAGCATTCACGTATATATAGACATACATCTATATACAGGAAGCAAATACGGTTTCAGGAGAAAAAAGTCAGTCACATGCATGTATATTTGTCCTCTTTTCTCACATAGGTTTGTGAAAGTGCAGAATGCTGATCTTTGCTTCCTATATATTCTGCAGGCTGTTGTATTCAAGGCAGAAAGCAGTCTTGGTCATGGAAGCACCTCACTAATTGCTGCAGTATTTTAAATGAAAGAACAGGGTACACCATGCTTACATTAAAAGTTAGAATGCTACAGTGAATTGTCTTGTACTGGAGTATAAGTCATTACCTTTTCCAGCCTCCAGTCAAAGTAAGTAGCTGAATCTGAGCTTTCTTAAAGTTGAGTGCAACTACTGTAAATAGAGAAGCATGTTTATATCTGTATACTTTAGACAACCAGTGCCTTTCTTTTCCAGAAGTCCTTCTCACAGTGGGATTCTTTGGAAGGAAGTGAGGGTTTTTCTGTGTTCTTGGCAAAATAGTATAGGGATTCCCATATTTAATAAACCTGGTGAATCATGCACCTTTGTCACTAAAATGAATACTTTCCTTACACAGGGATGTCTCTGTCTCAGCTCACTGTTCTTCATGTGAAATAAGTTGCTTTTGGTTGTCATCCTGAAATATATAATGTTCCTTGCAAGCCTATTCCCATGTGAATAATTCCCTGCACGTTCACAAATGCAAACACTGGGGAAGTATTGTGGAATTAGTCATGCAAACAGGAACTGTAGAGGTACTGAGTAAACAGAATGCTCTCATGTTTTTCAGCATGTGTCACTACAGCTAGTCCTGTGGCAAAGCCAGTAGCTCTGAAACTGTCAGAATCTGGCAGGTACTGTTTTGAATTAGCTCTAGACATAATGGTGGGTTATTAAAGAAAAAAAGGTGGTGCTTTTCATATCATCATGCTCTGGTATTTAAGTCATCTCACAACACTGGTTCACGTCCAGCTCAGTTTAGAGAAGGCTGCTTGTGTGCACTGTCAAAAACCCCATGGAGTCAAGGAATCAGGATTCAGATATTGCGGACTATCAGTTACTTTGACTGATGTCCTGATCTCCAAAGTACCAGTTGTGTAGGTGGTTAGATATTCTAGTTGAAATATGGAATAACAACATAGACAGCATTGGAGTTACCCTGGGTTTGTGTATGTATTACAGAATAGTTTCTTTGCTAAGTGAGATTTACAGAAAAAAGAGAGTATGATGTCGGCAAAACTACTGGAATTAGTCATGGGTCTGGATCCACTGCCATTACTAATGGCAAAGAGCAAAAAACTGTGTTGTTACGATATGCGAGCAGTGCCCAAAGCTTTATGTAAAAGGATACTGTACAATGCAGATCAGATTCATTTCTTCAGAATCCAATGTTGTTGTAAACAAGCCAGTTCCTAAAATGGATATTTCTACTTTGGAAAAGTAATATAGCTTCTTGTGGTAGCTATAGGAGCAGACTGTAATGTGGAAGATGCTTTCCTCTCAGGGATGCCCAGCTCCTATCCAAAAAAAGTTATTCCATACGAATGGGTAAGACAAAGTCTTCTGCCTTTCGTAAGTGTAATGAAATGCTTGATCCTGCCCTCAGAAGGTGCCAATGCAGTAGGAGCAAGGCCCATTTGTTTTTCAGAATTGTAAGGCAAAAGAATAACCTGAAACTACCGCTCACATTGCCGGTTCTCAAAAGACCCAACTCTGAAAGGACAGTTTTCCTGTAAGAGCTTGCAGGAGTCTCAGCCTGGGGTTCTGTGGGTGGTTTGGGTTTCAGGCAATGCTGTACCCCTGCATGGTTGTCTCTGCTATACCAACAGCACTGCATGCTGGTCCCCACTGTCACTCTTTTCCCATTCTTCAGCTCGTAGCCTGCATGTGGCTCTGCTCTGGGTGGGCATCAGCTGGAAAAGTACCTGGTGCCCTTCCAGATTGCACAACTCTTCCCCCCCACACACACAGTTGAACTGACATATTGGTACTTCTAGTCTCGTCCTGCCCACGCATGAAATAACTTTGAACAATAGCATTTCATTGTGAATCAAGAATAAAACGTGCTGTTTGTCTCCTTCACAGAGAAGGTGCTTTCACAGCTGACAGAGGAGGAATTGATCTGTACATCCAGTTACTGCTTTTGCTTGTACAGAACTTGTAATCAGTATAGAAATAGAGTGCTTCACTGCAATGGACTATAGCCTGACCAGCTACAACTACTTAGAAACTTCTCAACTCAGTTTAGTTAGTCTGAGATTATTTTAATCTGGGACACTGTAGAGATCTTTATTCAAGTCTCTTTTTCCTCTTTACCCTGACCCTTTGGCTTTCCTTTAATGGGGAGAAGGACCTACCTAGAGGATGCAAAGTGCAGCTTTTTTCTATATTATCAGCCTATAAAAAGAGAAATTTGGATCTCTTATGTAGAAATCTTTCTATTGCTTTTCTTTGTCTGTCTTAGGTGATGAAAAGTGATGGCTTTGTGATGTGACGCATGGCATGTACCAGTATGAGCTTATTGCTGGGATGATAGGAGTTGGCAGTTGTGAGGGTTTCTTAGATAAATGAGAGAAGGTACTTTTGGTAAGGAATTTGAGTTTTTCACAATACTCCACAGGCTCTGATGCCCCTGTTAGAAGTGAATCATCAGGGTACCTCTAGAGCTCCTCTTGTCAAGGCTTCTCTTAATATCAGGATACTGTGTGTATTATAATGGATTAATGATAATGTCCTGAAAAACATTAAAAAAAAACAACAGACGATGTCTGTTTACAATGAAATGGGGAAGCTGCACAGTTGTATTTTGCTTTTTCCCTGTAGCAACAGAAGCCACTGAGAGTTTCCTGGGCTTCCCAAGGTCGTGGCCTGGATTGCAGCTGACTGTTGAGCTGTATAAAAGAAATGTAATCAAATAATCATCATAATCATCTCTTTTTTTTCCCCACTGCTTAGCTGCAAGCAAGACCCCTCTCTCTCTTACTGACTTTGTCCGTCTGTGCTCACAGTGCTGAGCCTACAGCTAGACTTTGAGCTTCGTAGCTCATAGTGTTGCTTTTGAACCAGTCGAGTCTAATCATTCTCTCCTTTGTAATTTGCCTTCCAATTTTCCCTTCCCAGTAGGAGTGCCTTACAGTACTGTATATTAGTGTCTATCTTCCTGTTTTGGATTTCCTGATTGAATCTGCTGTTCGATTAACTTGCAGGCTTAAACTCAAACTCTCCCGTGGTTGCACGTGCTCTTTTGCAGGGTCAGCTGAGTAAATCAGTTAGCGTGTTCTGCCCTCGTGAAGTGAGCTCTACAGGCTGCATATTCCAGCTCTAAAGATAACCAAGCTGCATGGAAACCCCTCACTTCTGCTCAATTTGGTGCCTTAAATTTTCAAAAGTGAAGCATTTTGTCAGGAATGCTCTGCCACAATGCAGCGTGTTTGACATTGGAACTCACAGCCCTTGCTCATGGCAGTTTCTATCTTGCTAGGAGTGGTGACCATAAAATTTGTTTGCTGTCTGTGCTTTGAGAGGGAAATATGAGAAAGGAAAGCATGGATGTGGCATTGGGTTTTATTCCCTGTATTTTGGAGGCTAGCTGGGTTTCTCTTCAGCCAGAAATCCGGTTTTCCTTATGTGAGACCTTTAGGAGCCATGCATGTATAATAA